ATGGTCATGTATTATCAACCACAAATTTATCATGAACTTATTTTGATGTAGAACTATGCAGAACAATGTCCAACAATTCAGAAACCTAGACTTGAAATGACACTTAAGATTTACAGCCACCATTGTTTATTAGTTGCTCTAGACCTTGTAGTTTACATTTTCGGGATTATTAGCTGTAGTTCAGAAGGAATTACCGACACAAATGAAAGACTATAATAGCTTCAAACTCATTGATCTTCAGTCATATCTCCCTTAACTTTGGATAGAACGATGTGTCACAAGGGTTACCACTCCAAAGAGTCGTGTGTAATTATTTTCAAATCTGTTATTTACTTACCCGGTTACAATAAACTGCCCCCAAAATTATTTGACCAATCTTTTTTCAGCAATCGACACTTAAATAGAACGTAGTTTATGTTGTTATCAAAGAGTTTGGTAGTTTTCAGACATCGATTCACGTCAATATGTGGACACCTGAGAACCACATTAGCTACTTGCACGTGATCAACCTCATGCACTTCAAATACGGGATGCTCGTTATCATAAAGGCCGTTCAAGGTCGTGGCAAATAAAGGGCAGTCAAGTTTGAAAACGATTACTTTTCTTCCGTATAATGAAAAACTGAGTTTATAATGCAGTTTTCTCTCATACTACGCTACTGTAACTGTAAAGTATTTGAGAAAGAACCGCCATATAAACATACAAAATTCGACGGATACGCGACAGTCAGTGATAATTCTTTGGGACAGATCACTTCGAGCTCACCACTAAATATGCCATAGGTATTTGAATTTTGACAAACAATTTGCACTTAACGAGACATTTACAGTGATATTTTTAAAAAACTTGTGAGCGAAGTGTATTGAACTTAATTAGATATTCCACTGACTATAATACAGAGTAGTACTTATGATCACAGCTTACATCCAATATTTACGTTACTTTACTCCTTGAAAGAGAATTACAATCATCATAGTACCACAATTACTGCTTATAAAAAAGGACACTGGGCCTTTTTCTCCGCTACGTTGTTTGTCCTACAAAGTCGAAGATTGAGTAGGTGTAGGTCATCTAGTTGATTGGTACGAAGGGGTGTGTTATTGTCGTTTTTACACACAGTGAGTCTAAACCACTTGCTTTCTTAGTAATTTGCTGCATGTCATATATTTTTCTAATATATCTGAATGGATGAAAATTTTACTCTGAAAGGCTCATTTGAAACACTTCATGAGCTCTTAGTCTTAAGCTTCGTTTCTAATTAATATGCATACAATACTTCAGTCTTCAGTAATAAAGATAGTAGGTTGATGAACTTGTGTTAATCCTGACAGATTTCCTTCCAGTGAAGGTCCAGCTTCTTCTTGAAAATGTTCACTGATGGTACTGATACCACTTGTTCTGGTAAAGCGTTCCAGTCATTGACCACTCGATGAGAAAAACGGGACCCCACATTTAGTTTATTAGATCGCCGTTTCAGAACCTTCTTGCTATGACCTCGGAGATTATTAGTGATGGAGGGAGCGAAAAAGATAAGACATATCAACACCCAGATCATAATTAAAGATACGAAATGCCAGTATAAGTACACCTCGCGTCCTACGATAAGATAAGGGGAAAGGGTTTAGACGTTTTAAACGCTCATCTTAAGGGAGTTTAGAAAGACCCTTTGCTAATTTTTTCCCTACACGCTGGACACGCTCAAGCGATTTAATATCCTTTATCAGACAAAGGCTAGCTGCTTGGATACAGTATTTTAAGTGTGGCCTTACATAGATGGGACATAAAATTCGAAACATATCCTCGTCGAAGCATTTAAATGCTCTGCGAAGCGACCATAGCGCGCGATAGCCTTTGGAAGCAACCGCATTGCAGTGCGTGGTAGTTTTCAAGTCGTGACATATAATTATTCCTAAGTTTTTGTGCTCTTGAGCGCGTGGAAAAGATGAACTATTAATAGTATAGTTTTAACTAATATCGTGCCCGATGTGCATGAACACGCTCTTCCTGGAATTAACTTCCAGGCCCCAATTATCAGCCCACCTAACTAATTCGTTTAAATCTGCTTGCAGATAACAACGATCAGTCTCATTTCTTATTGTTTTCCAAATTTTAACATCATCCGCAAACAATAACATCGACGACTTAAGTAATAAAGGTAGTTCATTAATATACAAAAGGAAAAGTAAAGGGCCTAAGATGGTGCCTTGAGGTACACCACTTTTGACCGGTTTCCATTGACCCCTACTCTCTGTCTGCAGTCACATAAGAAGCTTCCTATCCATTCCTGTATAGCACCTGTTATTCCAAAGCTCGAGAGATTTTGCATAAGACCTAAGTGTGAAACCTTATCGAACGCTTTGCTAAAATCTATGCCCGTTGTCTAGGGCAGCTGTCCAATCCTCTCTCGCAATGAGTAAGTTAGTCAAGCATGAATGCTTGTTAGGAAACCCATGTTGCTCGGGTGTTAACAGATTGTACGAATCTATGTTACTCAATGGCTTAGCCCGAATTAATTTTTCAAGTAACTTAACTACTATACTGGTCAGGCTAACAGGCCGGTAATTAGATACGATCCGTCTCTGACCATCCTTAAATATAGGACTAACTATGGCGTCTTTCCAGTCTCTAGGTAGTTGAGCCTGTGAAAGGGACATGTTGAAGAGCATCGTGAGCGGTCTTGAGATAATGTCCGCAAGCGACGACAGCAAACGTGGGTGTAACCCATCGGGGCCCGGTATCATACAAGGTTTTAGGTTAGTTATCAAAGGAAGAACAATATCCTCTGTCACGTGTAAAGGTCCTATGGCTGGTATCTGATTGTCAACGGGACAAGTAGTTGTAACACTACACGTAGAGTAGACTTCACTGAAATAGTTAGCAATTGTCTCCGCTTTCGCTAGATCAGATTCAGTCAATAAAGCTGAATTTTCGCTTAACAGCAACGAGGGGATACCATCACTACGTTTCGTCCGCCTTTTAACGTACGAAGATAGTCGCTTCGGACAGGTACGGCTATCGCATGCAAACTGTCGTTCGTAAGCCGTGCGGGATTTAGCTATGGTCTTTTTAAATATATTCCGGATTTTTTTATATTCGCACTTAAATGATGCTTGACCCGTTGACAAGAATAAGTCCCAGAAGTGTTTCCTACGCTTCAACAGCTTCCGGGTTTCCTTATTAATCCATGAAGGGCAATATGATAGCTTACGTGCTGACCATGGGATAAACGGTTGAGTTACGGATTCGAACGTAGACTTAAACCTATTCCATGCATCATCAATCGATCCATCAGCATCGACCGACCAGTCAATCGAGATAGCATAGACCCTGATTGCCGGAATATTAGCTCTCCAGATATTAGGACGGGGTGGAGCAGATGCAAATTTTATACCATGTATCCGGAACTTAAAGGAAAGTACGACATGGTCACTATTCACCAGTGGAGGAAGGCGTTGAATGTCGACGATATCTTCAGAGTGGCGTGTGAGGACAAGGTCTATCAGTGACGGATTATGTTCCAAGTCTATATGCGTCGGCTTAACGATACATTGTACAAGTGCACATTGAATAATTGATGACAGAAAGACGCTATCGAAACCTCCACCTAAAGCTGTGAGCTCTATCCAGTTTATATGGGGTGCATTGAAGTCTCCAACTATGAGGCAACATTCTGCTTTACTCCAAGAACAGACGTGTCTTAGGATAAAATCGTCAGCGAGACAACACGGACTACGATATATTCCTCTTATCGTCACTAACCCGTTTCTAGACCTAATTGTACAACATACTACCTCACACGTACCACTTACATGCACCTCCGATATGATCGAGTTAATGCGGAAGTGGTCCCTAATATATAATATTATGCCTCCTCCCTTGCGACTTTTAACTCTATCACTTCTGATACAGATGTAGCCTGAAATGACTGGAGAACAGTCTATATCTAAAGTGAGCCAAGTTTCAGTGATAACATTTATATCCGAATTTAATTCGTCTATCATCAAACTTAGTTCAGACATCTTATTCCGAAGACTACGGGCATTCGTGTAATACACATTTAAGTTGTTTTTGGAGACATACATTCTACTCACACAGGTCTCGGAAGCATTGGCTTCCAAGACCTGACTACCCGAAAGCCCTTAATCGTAAGGTTCGCTTTACCGTTTAGCTTTCGAGTTTTTAACTCTGTTAGGGCATTCTTCCCCTTGATCCGATTCTCAAGTGGCCAGTCAGGTCGAAAACGAATGTTTGAGTCACGAGTTTTGCGTGTGTTATTCAGTACTACGTCCCTTTTCTCAAAATTACCGAGTACTAATTTAAGAATCCTTCTCTGTTGGGTTTTGCCTCCAACATATTTGCCGAGTCTGATGACTTTCGAGATATGTACCCCTGGGACCTCATCGGGCAGTATATTTCTGATGAGAGATCCTACTAACTGCAGGTCGCGGGCATGTCTCTTAGCGGGATCGGTGTCTTTCGAATCTTCTAAGTTCCAGATGATTACACTAGGGACCTGTTTAACTTCCTTAAAAGTCGTGTTCACGGCCTTCGACCGTGATGTCAGACCCTGCCGGTTAGCAACCGGCTTCTTACTGTTAGCTTTCTTTATAACAGTGTCATGTGGGTCGAGCGAGTGACTCACAACAACATTTGGTGAAGTTAAACCGTTCCCATCCACAACAGTACTAAATATTTTCTTACATTTGGACTTGAGCGGAGTTGCCTGATGCGCAGGACGTGGGTCCAACGAGGACTTATCGACTATACGCGTGCATTCTTTGGGTATTTTTCCATCTCTTTTACATCGACAGACTATGTTGGTGCTTTGAGTCCGAATTCTCTGATGGTTTGGTGAAATTCAATAACAAAGTATTTCTCAAGCAACTGTAGGGTCAGTGAAATGTTACTGAACCCAAGCCAAATGATCCGGCAATTGGATCACTGAATATAGAACAAATCATCGACCCCTCTGAAGGTCAAGGACAATCAACGCGCATCAGTCAAAAGTACGTCGTTAATTGGCCTAAGAGGCAGTGGTGTTATTTTCGCTCATATCTACTTTAATTAATATATTTCTGTAATAACGCCCTTTGTGTTGTACAGTCTTCAGAGCATCCATAACCCCTTGGTTCGTCGATGGGGCAATCCACGTAAGGTGCCGACCGCGAGGTGTGGCTTCGACGTTAGTTTGTTCGTCACACCCTTCCCGTCTAACTCTAGTAGTCCCCCAAAAATTCGGCAGAGATCATTAAGGTTGATGGTCTACTCAACCAATAAAGGGGAACAGAGTTGACGAAAGCATGGGTAAATGGTAAAAGTTACAACTGTAACTCTAAGACTCAGGATTCTGCATTCTGGCTCACTGATGATAGCTCATTTTTTTATCACCATCTTGAGATACATGCTTTGATTGCGTAGACACGTGCCATAGTTATCGCACCGACTCCAATATACTTCTCTATTCGCCTATATTTGAACTAGATATTTAATGTGATGGTGACCAATTAATGTCATGGTCTTAGCATGTGAAACTGTAAAAGACTGGTATCTGCCAGTCGATTTTGACTTTTGTGTACCTAGCCAGTTAGGTCTTTTCTATAGCTTTCAAGAAAGTCTATAATTACACTACATTCTTTCCACAGAAGTTCTATAGGATTCATCTTAAACGTTTATATATCTTATTCTATCTGATTTCTTCCTGAGAAAAATCCATATTCACACTGTTGAGTAGCTCTTGTTATAACTTCGCTTATTTAACATGAGGCTCATCATATAATGTTACTAACTGAACAATAGTTCCGAAGTTCCGATCACCATTCATTTCGTTCTCGGCTTGGAAAGGACAGGAGGCTAGGTGGCCTGTTAGTCCTGGCAATGCTAATCTCCCAGTTGATCCAACTTTCTTTTGATTGCGTTCAAAGATGGAGCTTCAATCACGTGTCGAGGTAATGAGTTCCATTCGTCGATCCTATGGGAAAGTCGTTGGTCAGCTGGCAAGTATTTTACTCTGGGCTTGTGAACCATTTTGGAGTGTCCTCGTAAATTCTTTGATTTGGAAAATAAGAAAAATGAGAACATATCAGGTGCAAATTTATCGCTAATTAATTTAAAAAGAAACTGGTCAAACCACCTCGTCTTTCCATGTTTTCAGTAATAAGGATAGGTCTATCGACCTTTATTAATCCTTGCATTCTTTAAGACTGTGGAGGCCAATTCTCGTCTTGAATATATCAAGAAAAGGTGTTGATGTTATGTGTTCTGGTATAGAATTCCACTAATTGAATACTTAGTGCGAGAAACGGAACTACAGACGTAGACATTTTGTTCTCGGTTTTGAAACTTTCTTATGAAGTTGTCGAATGATCAGCCCTCGACGGAAGGAAAAGATAAGATATAATAATACCAAGGTTATCGTTCATTATACGATAAGCCATTATTAGATCACCCCGTAATCTACGGTAGGATAACAGTGATATGAATCATGATGTATATTTAATTACATCACCACACCCTTGCTAGAATTTACTTCTAGTGGTCACCCGCTCATCCATGTCACCAATAAATTGAGATCTTGTAATACTATTTTATCTGACATACTGTTTATGGGTCTCCAAATGTTGATGTCATCGGCGAAGAGTAGGACTGTTGACTTTGTTACAGTTAGTAATTCATTTGCATAAAGTTAAAAAAGAAGAGGACCAGGAATTGTACCTTGGGGAACTCCACTTTTCACAGGTTCCCACGGTGACTGAGCTCCATTTACTCTTACCCGTTGTCTCCTATAACTGAAAAAGGCATTTGTCCAGTCTATGACCTTATAATGAATTCCGAAACTTTCCAGTTTTAAGTTAAGACCCTAATGGAAGACCTTGTCAAGTTTAATTAGATATATGGAAATTACATCTACAGAAATACTTCGATCTTTTGTTGCAGTCCAATCTTCTATTGTAATGAGCAGATATGTCAAGCGGCAACTAACTAATTCACCCATTCCACCTTAATGGGATATATTATCGACGATAGCAAAGGGGGTATTTCTAGTGAGCAAAACTACTCCTTAATGCTTCTGGGTTCTGTCAGCACTGACTCGTACGGAAATTTTAAAATCAAGTTTCTTACTGTCTACAGGCTGAGTCAACCAAGTTTGTGTTACGGGATTACATCCGACATGATAGTCTCTCTTTACACTTATCTCCGAACATTTGTGTAACTGATATGAAGGCCATTTCAATGGCTTCGTGCTGCACCCAGAGTGGTTTCAGCATCATTCTTTGTTGAAATCTCTCAACCCGAAAATTTACAGTCCTAAGGTCCTCCTCACCAGCATTTAGCCTTAGTTTTAGTCCTTTCCAGCTTCTCGTCGTTTTATGCAGTCTGTGAGTTGCAGGGCTTTACGGACAAAAAAATTTTGATCCCTTTAGATTATGTCTATTCTATAGCATTAAATATCACTTGTTTGTACAAAGGGGCACCAAATACATATGTGCTTCATATAAATATCAAATGAATGTGAATTGTCTGAATTTTAATTGAAGCAAGAATAATATTTCCAATACTAATTGTCATTTTGTTTGATTTTTGTGTGGGCTGTGATACTGACTCGGTGAACAGACCTAAGCAGATTGTTTTTTTAGGGGGCCACACCTGGAGCCTTTGACCTAAAGGTCTAATCCACAAGGCAGTGAAGCATCGTGAGGAGATGCAGTCCCATGGTAACCGGTGACCGACGATTGGTTCATACGCCATTTGTTCCTTCAGGATCCTAGAGCCTATGTGCACCATCGGTTTGGAATCAGGGTTCTTCAACTCTTAGTGGACCCTCCGTGTCCCTTCCATTGGTATTGAGATACTACTTTCAACAGCCTGGTTTGATTTTCTTTCAAGTCTGTTTGACTACCTAGTCTACAAACTTTCAGTAGGGAGACCCCAGACATATCTTCATACACTAGCTGTTTAATTAGAATTTTCATCAACTCAATGTCATGCTCAAAGCAGTTTCTAGGTTCAGAGCTCTCACCCTCCTTGACTCTCAAGGATGATTGACCTGTTACTATGATCAACCTTTGATTTTTCAACGACTGTTCAGGGGACTGGCTTTTTTATTAATATTAGGTCGTCTCTTATTCTTGATTTGTATCCATCCATCAGCACTCACTAGAGTCACAAACACAGTTGCGTTAAACACACTGTAAGATTCTCAATGATTGTCGGTGACTTAGGTGATCAGGTTGTTTTCCGTTACCGAAACGAACCTAGCCCTATGGATTAGGTTTTTTAGGTGTCTCCTGACTGCTGCCACTTGGAGCGCGGGGCACAGAAGAAACTTTTCTTCGGTTGTTATTTCTGACAGACATTTTTGAAATTGGTTCTCCCTCGTTTGGCCCATGTAGTTCAGGCGATTCTGAGCTTATTTGAGATGAATACACATCGATTTGTGAACTGACAGAACCTTTTAATTTTAGTCTTCAAATACCGTCTTTGAATTCTTGTTACAAAATTGAACCTGCTAATTAAAGTTTTTTTCCCTCCAGTTACATGCAGCTTCCTCCGTTCCGAATCAAGTAAGCCGAAGTCCTTTTCATTGTGCAGCAATTTCTTTATAATTTTGCGACAGATAACATCAAGTTCAGCTCATAACAACAATAACGCGTTTACAAGTTTTATTCACTCGAGATTTCATGAGTTCAAGTCCGCAAAACCGGAGTTATCAAATTTTGATGTGATCAAAAAGTTAGCACAGTTGTACAAGTCACTTCCAGTTGAAGAGGTAGAAAAGTTGAAATCAGAAGCGAAAGAACAGCAATATTATGTTAAAAAAGCGACCAAGGTTATATTTTTAACTATTTATTCATTTGATTTGTCACTTTTTGATTTGTTTTCTGAAAGAAATTAATATTTTTCTTACAGTTAATTATGAGGATGTAAATGGTGATGTGGCTCTGTTCTTGATTCGGGAAGTAGTTGTCGGTGTTTTTAGTGTTGTTGAAATATATATTGTAACCCAAAGACAGTTTTCTCTCTTGGAAAAACTCATATAGCAAGTATGTTTTCCCATAGTTAATCATATTAGTTCACAATCTCACCATGACTATACCAAATGCTTCGAATGTCATTGGTTAGTGAAATAAGGATGGTATGCAACAATAGTAAGTATACCTCTGTCTCCAATAATGTAAGGTCTTTATTTGAATTCTTGAGATTTGTTTCTCAAAGAGAATTCGGATTTAAGATATTCAGTGTCCTCTGTAACATAAACATTAGGTTCATCTTTTGAAATTACTGTGATATAACTAATACTTTCCAGAAATCAGAATAGTTAGTAATGGCAAACTGAAACTTTTTAATGAATTCGGTTCTGTTATTAAATACCACATGTATCTTGTTATATATAAAGTGTTTTTTTGCATTCCTCACTTATTCTAAAAAGTTACGCTTAAAGAGTTTGGTTTGGTATACTAATCTAATTACTAATTTGAACCATATGAAATACTGGATGGTCTGCTAACTATTCTAGTGTAACTAACATTGGTATTTAAATTAGCGGTTTGTCTGTACCAATTATCACTCTGTGTTTACCAGTGACTCATATTCCCCGTCTGTTTGACATTCACATTTCTGTGTGATACTAAAATGTTTTTCATCTTCATCAAGTAATCACTAGTTTTATTAGTTGCATAATGTATGAAGCTTTAAAAATATTATTTAACATCGTTCCGATTAGTAGATTGATTTCTATATGCATGGATAACAAAAAATCGAGGTTGAAAATAACTAGATCACCAGTTAAAATCTAATCATGAACATGGTACTTTGTTTCTTAATTTCATCCAACACCTGTAAACTGCTGTTTTTCATTTCCGTTTCCTTATGGAGTATTTTTATTGCTATATAGTATGAAGTTTAAATGTCTTTTGAAATTTTCATTTTTAGTTTGCTTATCGTAATGGAATGCCAAAAAGTCCACCAAACTCTGGACTGAAAGTTTTTATGAAAGAAAAACTGAAAGACTCTAAGGTAAGTCACCGTTATTATTTAGATGTGAAACTATTTAATAGAGATTAAAAATCCTGTGTATATTGTAACAAGTTTTTGTTAGTCAGTCAGTCAGTCAGCTACAACTTAGAACCAGGCACATATATCCATCGGTCCAAGTTACCATACCTCATTAGTACAATATGATGAACACTGAATTCATCTTATTGTCTAAAAGCATATATCTGAATTTGGGATTGAGTGATAAAGTCATTTATGATTGTATGAGTATAAAAAACATACGTTTTTAGTGTTGGTGGATAGTAGCCTGTTTTTATTTTCCTCTCGACAGTTGAACTGAAACATACTATGTTCTGTATTGTCAGTGAAAACGTTTTATTTAAGAAAAGTTGATAGAATGTGCCTATATGTTTCAGCGAAATACGCTTTAAGTAAATTTGAAGTGTGTGAAAGACTATTTTAAATTCATCTGAATTTTTTAAGTTTGACGCTCTCAGGCTCTCGAGTGATTGATGTTCGGATGATTGAACGGCATGGCTTTAATATTTGCGTAAATCGAACTAGTTGTTTTTTTGACTATTACAAGAAATTTTCGGTCATTTTTAGAAACTGAAACTACCAATAATCGAGATCAGTCTATTGAGACAGTTCTCGGTTAATCTGATTAGAATTTCTTGAGGGTCACTCTTAAAGATGAGCCAAGAAGTACCTTTAGATCATTTAGCTTTACCTTTTTGGTTCTTCGCAGCTTTCTTGTCTTCGCTGCATGTTAAGGACGGGGTGCTATTTTATCACCTTATTGAGCTTTTGACTAGGTCGTAAATTCCTGTATCATTGGTTTAGGGTAGTCAAGCCACTGTATATTTTTGGGCTCATGTTTTATGTACCTGTTCCAAGAGGCTATCGCTAACTCGTATTCGGTGATAGCTTCAGTAACCATCGTGTTTTCCATCCTGGTGTAATTATTAAAACTAAGTAACTTCTACTTGTCTTGCCTTATATGCCCACAGCCTTAACCAATTTAAACGTATCATAACTTCTCATCTCGAACTCTGCTAGCATGCATCTTCGGACCTAGATAATTTGATATGATGCTGCCGCAATCTCCTCATCTTTTGGAAACTTCCGTCTCAAGTTATAATCTGTCTTTACTTCTGTTTCAGTAGCAGGCTAAATGTTTCAAATGAAATCATGACAATATTCGTCTAAAAACTTCTTCCATACATTTACGTTAGATCTGGTGCTCAAACCGATCTTAAAGGAAACTTTTCAGCTGCCTGTCTCTTACTCTCGAATATATAGGGATGTGGATAATTGCGTGATTGTAGTAGGTACTTCAAAAATGAGATACAGTTTATCTCAGTCCATTTTCAAGAATGATTAATCACAAATCTACTCATACTTATCTCCGAATTGTTAATTTTGCGTATATCCTTGTGAACTTTTCGAATAAAGAATGCTGTCTAACATTACCGGTTTCCTGAGTATTGATAATTGGTTGAGGTTGTTCGACTTATTAACTAGACTTCTCTCTTAGTGACGTAACATTTCTTTGATTAAGTTTTATCTAACTGATTTATGATGCAATAATTAAAAGTTTGTGCATGGATTTCCTATGCACGTAAATCTGTCAGTGAAAACTACCATATCGGTGTGATTTCTAACTAACCAACTGTTCTCGTAATAAATGCTTTCGATTCTCATAAGAAAAGAAGACAACGGTGCAGCTAATGTGTCTACTTGTGATCCTTATGGCGGCCAAATCCAACATTTGTTACAGGAAATTGCTTTGTGACTTATTTTGTAGTCATTCGTCTACTTGATGGGTATCAAGAGCCACTGTTTAAGCGGTTTATTTATGACTTAGATGCTGCTCAACTTATTCACAATACGAATAAATTTCTATACAGTATCATTATATGAACAGACTGGGGGAATGGGCACCATCTAAATGGCCACTCGTGTTTTACTAGAATTGTGGTGGTAATAGCTTATTGATTTTTTTAAAGTTTTAGTTAACTTTTTCACTTCAACAAATCTCTGTGACTATTAATGTTTAACTGATGTTCGATATGTAGATGACTATCTATTTATGATAATTTTTTATTTTTTCAGGGTACACCAGTGTCTGAAATGAGAAGTGAATTCAAAGATACTATAAAACAATGGATGTCATTGCCTGAATCTGATCAACTGGTAAGTTGATCAACTGATACACTCTGTTTATAATAGATAATACCGTTTTTACTGTTTGACTCAAAAATATCTGGGAGTCAGAAGGGATGCATTAAGCCTACTTATCCATGTTTATGTAGAAAAAAGTGTTTGAGTATTTCTTATAACACAAAATCCTAAGTTGATACCATGAGAATTCTCATAATCCCTTTCTTTAGTCTGAATAACTCTAAAGGCTTCCTTGTCATGCCAGACAATTAAGTTAATGAATGAAGTGTTTTTGATCGTTATTCTGTAGTTGAAATGGTAACGTTCTAGTAATGTTTGTTCGGAGTTGGATGGAGAATGCTGGTGAGCGGCCTATGCTCCTCGACGAGGGGTAACAGGCGTAAGTAAATAATGCTTGTTGCAGTTGTTGTGACCAGTTAATCGATTAAGCATTTGTCTTGATTCTAATATTAAATACTTTCATCAGTGTCTGTGCGTATTCTTGTTAACCTGCGATGAACTTTTTATTGTTTGGGGTGTAGCATTATGAATTGAATCTAAAAATAACAATAAATATTTAGTTTTTCGGGGCAATCTTTAGTGATTTCTAATAGCAGTGTCTGTCATTAAAGCGATTACTAAAGAAGTACGTTAACCAGCTGACTGCTTTTTATACAAAACACCGTCAGTCAGGTTAGAATTTAAGGCAAACTCCCATTTGAACTGGCTACGTCGAGTGGCGCTTGCTAATTCTACCCACTTTCCATATTTACAGTTGATTTCGTCATAGTGTGGTATATGCTACTTATGCTGACAGACATAAGTGGTAAGTAGCATCAATCGTAAGTGGAATGCTTGGCAGCAGAATATTGAAATGAAGAGAACTGGAAGTGAATCACTACAACAGGTGTGCTCATAAAGATAATATTTTCTTCTGATTTCTTGAATTCACCTCCTACCTATGGGAATGTTGATTGACTTGAAATACATGGCTAACTTAGCTCTGTTCGGCTTAGTCACTAACCAGGTACAGAGTCTTCTAATCACTTTCCCATATCCAAAACATTGTTTCTGTTTTGCTTTACTTCCTTTTTATAATTTGACTACAGAGAGTGAAATAGTTTAGTCATATCAGGACTCCAATTATTTCGAGAATGATCAGTCTTAATTGATCATCGTTTAGCAAAATCTTGACATATACCAAAATGTGTTCAAGTTTAGTACAGACAAGATATTCACCTACTTATCAAAAGGCGAGTATACAGCTCACTAATTCATTCTCCATTTTATAGCTAAGAAACTTGGCTTCTGGAAGTTTAGGATATGTGTAAGTCTCAAGTATTTGATCTTACTTGTCTTCGAAGCATTGCTGACAGCCAGTAAAATCTTAGAGCGAATTGTGTAGAAGATAGGCTTAAGTTACTAGATAAAGATGTTAAAGTTGGTTAATGAGTTTGTGAATCTTCATTGTTTGAGGTTGTTAGGATCTGTGTTAGAGATACCTAGCTACTCTCTACAGTTATATATAATGATGGCTTGCATAGAAACAGTCTGAAGGAAAGGCTTAGGATGAGTAAACCAACGTATACTATTATTTAATATTATTATTCTGTCAATCGGTCATAAGCAGCGTACAGCCTTGCACAAATGTGCGTCGGCCGTTTCCAAGTCATATCAACACAGCGAGATGAGATTATCATTATGAATACCAAAGTAGTATTAGTGATAGTAAAAAGGATTAGGCATTAAAAATTAGGTTTAAGAAAAGAGAATTAGCAGAATAAATTGTATAAAATAATTTTTAGACTTAAGATCCAAAGAACCGAAATGTGTGAATGCAACTTCATACGCTGCTGTTACTGACTCTGAACCATTTCATCCAACATCTCCAACCACTGATCGCTGTTTTTGCGCAGAACCTAACCAGGTTGTCTTTACCTATCAGCGTGGCTCAAACGAACTGTCAATGACTTTATGTATTGATGTCGTATCTCGGTTTCTCTCTTAGCTTACTTCCGACCCAGCTCCTGCTCCAGCTAACGTTATCTGTCTATGTAGGTGCTGGTTGAGCGTACGTAATTCGTTCAACGACCTCAATTAATACAGATTCATAACTTTATCAATTGGCTTGGGATCATTGACTAGTAACCCGCATCTATGCTGAACATTGTTCACTTGGTTGTACCAACATACACGAGTAATCCCTCACAGATTCCTATGATCAAGTTTCAGGGATCCAACTAATATATCTCACTATAATAGACCATGTTTCATAATCTTAAAGTAAAACAGAAAGCTACTATTCAGTATAGTTGCCCCTTCGTTGTTAGACGGACATCTCGCCTACGTCAGGGTTTATTTAATTTGGCACTGCCAAACGAGCTTCTTGAATTCTTGTTGGGGTTTCGTCAATCACTAACCTGCCAAAGTTGATGAAACTATCAAGGTAAGTTGATAATCTACTGTCATCAATATACGGCATGAATCCGCTTGTTTAGTAAAATGAACATTCGACTAAGAGTAGTATTTATTCTGCTTGCTCTTTTTTTATACATCAGGATATTAGATGGACAACGTGTACATAGTTCTTTAATTTAATTTGTCATGGTTTGAATCATCCTAATGTTGATATTTACGATGGAATTCCTATCAGTCTTAGTTGGTATATATGCCTTTTGTGCGAATCGTTTTTATACTGGCATTGTGTTAAAAGTTTTTTATATAATAGATGGAATGTAACTGACAGCAGAATTTGGGACACCGAATTTAGGTACATTCATTTAACGAATCCAAAGTGGAATAAAATGCTTGTCCTGGACTATGGTGCTTTATTTATTTATTTAAATACATAAATATTGATACAAGGAAACACCAGATACATATGTGCCGCACTAATCTCATTGGATTTGTGTGAGGATTGAGATACTGCTCAGGTGCCCAGACTGAAGCAGATTGTTTTCTTAAAGGACTACACTCGGAGCCTTTGACCTAAAGGTCTGATCCATAAGGCAATAGAGCATCGTAAGGAGATGCATTCCCATGGTAGCTATTTGTTCCTTCAGAATGCTGGATTCCATGTGCACCATTGGTTTGAAATCAGGGTTTTTCAACTCCCCTAGGTGGACATTCGCTTTTCGTCCTCTCAATTTCGCAAACAACACCCCCGCAGTGAGTAGGACTTCCTTGGCTGAGGCTATATACGCGTGGCCATGTAAGAGCATTTGGAGAGGGAGAGCGGACTCTCCCCACTCTTGGTCGTACCAGGGCATTTGGGGGCTAGTCGCATTCCATTGAGTTGATCTTATACATATATTTATTCATAGTTCTAAATATTCCATACTGTTATATTTGTTCCATTTTTAGGAGTATAATAACATGGCAAAAGATTTAAAAAATGACTATGAAGCTAAGCTTAAAGAATGGGCTACAAAAAATAATATTCAATATACAAAACGTATATCAATACTGGCTGATAGATTCTATAGAACATATCATCCAAAATAAAGAACCCATTCATTTTATCAATGAAGACAAATGAATGAGTAGTTTACCAGTTTCTGTGGAAACTATTGTTGTCATTGGTTTATCTGTTTATTAAATCTTTTAGTGTTTTTTGGCAGCCTATTGCTTGTTATTCGTCTATTTCAAGAGTTTTTTTTCTGTTTCCACACATTGTCACTCTTCTACTAGATGCTGTTCAAAATTTTCTACATTCATCTGTCATAAATGTGTAATAACTAATTATCAGTTTGCTTGTTAGAAGATGTATTCGAATTCTAATTCAGTTAAGGGGGATTCTATGTGAATAGGCTTACACCGCTTATCTGTTGTACTAGAGTACCAGATTAAGACTTGTAACGTTTATAAGTTATAGTTGATATGTCTGTGACCGAGTGGATGCCTAGTTGATGTGTGACGCGATAAGACCGCCAAACAGGGAGCAGCGAATTATTGATTGGAACAGTGACACGAAACCCGTACGAGCAGTCTACCGTGATAAACGGTCCTGCGATCTGCCTAGCCCAGCCAGTTGAGTCCAAAACACCAATAACAGCCTCAGTGGTATGAATCATTATTTACAAACATACTGGGTTTTTATACAAACCAAAGTAATCAATAAACTGATTATAACTCAAGAATCGTATGATAATAAATCAAAGATCAAAATAAAGCTCATGATAAGAGAAATACGAATATGAATAGTTTAGTTACGTAACAACTGTACAATAACTCCGCCTGTAGCCGGTCCCAAGCCCGGGTAAAGGAGGAGGGTTGGGCATGGGGTTAGCGACCCCATCCCGTAGAAAAGCTAACTCGCTAAAAAAACGCTAACCAGAAAAAATAATCCAAACCATTTAAACTCTGCCCTGGGAGTTGAAGGAATAATGACGTCTCATGATGAAAGCCGAAATTCTTCGGAAGTCACGAGACCGATGCACCTTCTAACAACCAGAGCAACACTCTTTATAGGTACATGGAACGTCCGGACAATGTGGGAAACAGGAAAGATCAGCCAAATAGCAATGGAAATGAGGAGATACAACTTGGCAGTACTCGGAATCAGCGAAACCCATTGGACACAAACTGGACAACAAAGGCTAGGTACAGGAGAGATGCTGCTGTACTCCGGTCACGAAGGGGAAAATGCGCCACACACTCAGGGAGTTGCTCTAATGCTGTCCAGAGAAGCAAGAAATGCACTTGTGGGATGGGAATCTCATGGACCCAGGATAATCAAAGCATCATTCAGAACAAAGAAGCAAGGGATCACAATGAATGTTATCCAATGTTATGCACCCACCAATGATAGCAACGACGATGATAAAGATCAGTTCTATGAAAGGCTGCAATCAATTATAGCAAAGTGCTCACGAAAGGACCTCACAATCCTGATGGGAGATCTAAATGCTAAAGTTGGAGTGGACAACACAGGATATGAAGATGTAATTGGACGACATGGACTAGGAGAGAGAAATGAAAATGGGGAGAGACTTGCAAACCTATGTGCTTTCAACAAATTGGTTATAGGTGGCACAATATTCCCACACAAACGCATACACAAAGCTACATGGATCTCACCGGACCACACCACAGAGAACCAGATAGATCACATCTGTATCAACAAAAAATTCCGAAGATCAATGGAAGATGTGAGAACCCGGAGAGGAGCTGACATAGCTTCAGATCACCACCTGGTTGTGGCCAAGATGAGACTGAAGCTAAAAAAAGACTGGACAACTGGACAAACAGCACTAAAAAGGTTTAATACAGCCTTCCTTCGAGATACTGACAAACTCCATGAATTCAAGATAACTCTCAACAACAGGTTCCAAGCTCTACAGGATCTACTGAAAGAACAGGAAACTACTTTGGAGGACAACTGGAAAGGGATAAAAGAAGCACTAACTTCAACGTGTCAGGAGGTTCTTGGTCCTAAGAAGCATCATCACAAGGAATGGATCTCTATGGGGACCCTGGACAAACTTCAAGAAAGGAAGAACAATAAACTAGCAATTAACAACAGCCGAACACGAGCAGAGAAAGTCAAAGCACAAGCAGACTACGCAGAAGCAAACAAGCAAGTGAAGAAAAGCTTTAGGGCCGACAAGCATAAATACATGAGAGAACTAGCAACGACAGTGGATAAAGCTGCAAGTGAAGGGAATATGAAACAACTATACGATACAACGAAAAACTAGCAGTGAGATATAGTAAACAAGAGAGACCAGTCAAAGACAAAGAAGGAAAGACAATCACTGAGATTCAGGAACAGAGGAAAAGATGGGCAGAATACTTTGAGGAACTGCTGAATAGACCAGCCCCATCGAATCCACCGAACATCGAAGCAGCCCACACTCACCTTCCAATAGATGTCACCCCACCAACGATCGAAGAAGTTAAGATGGCCATCAGACAAATCAAAAGTGGGAAGGCGACAGGACCTGACAATATACCAGCAGAAGCACTGAAGTCAGACATTGAAATAACTGCAAACATGCTTCACCTTCTATTCAAAAAGATTTGGGAAGAGGAACAAGTGCCAACGGACTGGAAAGAAGGATATCTCATCAAGATACCAAAGAAAGGAGATCTGAGCCAATGTGAGAACTACAGAGGCATCAGTTTGTTATCAGTACCAGGAAAAGTTTTCAACAGAGTGCTGCTGAATCGGATGAAAGACGCAGTAGACGCCGAACTTAGGGATCATCAGGCTGGATTCCGTAAGGATCGGTCGTGCACAGACCAGATTGCGACACTACGGATCATCGTTGAACAATCAGTTGAGTGGAACTCATCACTATACGTCAACTTCATCGACTATGAGAAGGCGTTTGACAGCGTGGATAGGAGAACATTGTGGAGACTTCTTCGACACTATGGAGTTCCTCAGAAGATCGTCAACATTATCCAAAACTCATACGATGGATTACAGTGCAAAGTGGTGCATGGAGGACAGCTGACAGATGCATTTCCAGTAAGGACCGGAGTCAGACAAGGCTGTCTACTCTCCCCATTTCTCTTCCTTCTAGTGATTGACTGGATTATGACGAATTCGACATCTGAAGGGAAATACGGAATACAATGGACTTCTCAGAATCAATTAGATGATTTGGACTTCGCAGATGACCTAGCCTTCCTCTCTCATACACACGACCAAATGCAGATGAAGACAGCAAATGTAGCAGCAGCCTCCGCATCGATAGGCCTCCACATTCACAAAGGAAAAAGCAAGATTCTCAAATGCAACACGGAGAACACCGACCCAATCACACTTGATGGCGAAACTCTGGAAGAGGTGGAAACATTCAAGTACCTGGGGATCATCGTTGATAAACAAGGAGGATCGGATGCAGATGTAAAGGCGAGGATCGGCAAAGCAAGGGCAGCATTTCTACAATTGAAGAACATATGGAACTCAAAACAACTCTCAACCAATTTCAAGGTCAGAATCTTTAATGCGAACGTCAGGACAGTCCTACTGTATGGAGCTGAAACGTGGAGAACTACTACGGCCATCATCAGGAAGGTACAAGTATTTATAAACAGTTGTCTACGCAAAATACTCAACATTCATTGGCCGGATACTATCAGCAACAGCGTTTTATGGGAGAGGACAAACCAGCTTCCAGCTGAAGAGGAAATAAGGAAAAGACGTTGGAAGTGGATCGGACATACATTAAGGAAATCACCAATGTGCATCACGACTCAATCCCTAACTTGGAATCCGGAAGGGAAGCGGAAAAGAGGAAGGCCAAAGAACACACTACGCCGGGAAATAGAAGCCGATATGAAAAGGATGAATAGCAACTGGAAAGGAAGGCTCAGGACAGAGTTTGATGGAGAATGCTGGTGAGCGGCCTATGCTCCTCGACGAGGGGTAACAGGCGTAAGTAAGTAAGTAAGTAACAACTGTACAATAGGAAATAGGCATAATACATTGGTCGATAAATAGACCTAAAAGTTAACATTCGTAATTCACCGGGGTATATAACAATAGTATAGAGAGTATAATTTTTTTCTGGTTAGCGTTTTTTTAGCGAGTTGGTTTTCTACGGGATGCGGTCGCTAACCCTCCTCCATTACCCGGGCTTGGGACCGGCAGATATCAAGACAGTTCTACTGTATGGGGCGGAGACGTGGAGAACTACGAAAGCCATCATCTAGAAGATACAGGTGTTTATTAACAGTTGTCTATGCAAGATACTTCTGATCCGTTGGCCAGACACTATCAGCAACAAGTTACTGTGGGAAAGAACAAACCAGATTCCAGTGGAGGAAGAAGCGCTGGAAATGGATAGGACACACTTTGAGGAAATCACCCAATTGCATCACAAGACAAGGAATCCTGAAGGCCAAAGGAGAAGAGGAAAACCAAAGAACACATTACGCCGAGAAATGGAGACACATACGGGAAGAATGAACAAAATTTGGATAGAACTAGAAAGGAAGGCCCAGGACAGGGTGGGTTGGAGAATGCTGGTCGACGGCCTATGCTCCATTGGGAGTAACAGGCGTAAGTTAGTAAAGTAATAGAGCGTATAATTGTCAGTTGTTTCAGGATACAACAGACAGCTAGTTATTCGTATTATTTATTTAAACACGTAAACATTGGTTTACGAGGTCACCAAAATATGTATGCGCTACACAATAAAAATGAGGTTTTGAAGAGATAGAGAAAGGTGAGTATAATAATAGAAAAAGGAATGAATTAGTGTGTAAGCGTAAAATAATAATAATGAAGAGAGAAGCAGTTCAGTTAAGAAAAATACAACCGGAAAGAATTTTTTCAGGTAGAAAAGTTTCTCTCACTTAAATGAAGCAAGTAAAAGAAATTTACAGCTGGTCCGCCATTGGCTTCTATTCTGAGCCATGTCTGATTACATTACAAGCCACTAAGTTGGAACTTCTCTACGACTCCGACCAATAGATGCCAGTTCCGTACAGATTTATTTCATTCCACAACATGTCATACACCAATCACATCTCCGCTTTTTCCAACCAGTTCAAGTGTCGGAAAATAATGTTTGATGTGAAATTACCTGGGACCACATTGGTAGTACAAATGTAAGCCACCGATTTCAATGTTTTAATATGGGGAAAACCATTGGATTATCCTTACTGTGCCCAAACCTATTCATTACCAACAAAGCGTTGTCACTGAATGTCATCAATCCTAGGAAGACAACTACAACCAGACATAGAGTCGCTGAACATCCTGAAATTGAAGAGGCCAAGTTTCACAAGTATAGAGCGAAATCG